CATCTGCGTTAATTAACCACAAATCGAATAAAGACCCTTAGAAATAAGGTTAAGGAGAAATAAACTCAAAGGTTCAATGAAGCTGCTAGTAACTTCTATAGATATAGATGCATGACTCTCTCGAAGAGCTCACTACTAATTATCATCTCTAATAATATTAAACCAATCCAGCTGATCTATTGTATTAGCTCACCAGACAAAAGTAGGCGGAATTTAACTTATTAACGCTTAAATAAAATGTCAGCTTGATTGCATTTTGATTGCTCAGAAGCCTTAGTTTCGAGTTTGAAAACACGGAACATCTGTCGTCGTTTTCAGCATCTTCACAGGACATTAGGTACGAGACGATTTACATTAGGAAAGGGCGATCATAGTGTGTGTTTTTAACAACGACGCCGTAACTGATATGATCTAAGAGATTCATTGTGGCGCACATGAATAGAACAGCGGCTATAAAAAAAACAAAATCGTTGCACGTACAGTTGTATGAGACGGACCATAATAACGGAGATTTTGCGAACTATGATAGTCTTTTTGAGGTAGTTGACGTGGCGTGGTCCGTTTGAAGGTCAGCTCTATTCTGTCCTTTGACTCCAAGCATAAGATAAATGTAATCCATATCGTACCAGTTCCTCCTCTATACTTCATCATTGCTTCTTTTCTCCTCAACTCCGCGCCCTTCTTAACGTCCCTTAATTTACAGTCAATCTAAAATGCACTAAACTAAGAGAAAAGGACTCTATTCTCTGGCACATGTCAGCTTTTTGCCATCTCTTTCGGAGTTTAACCGTATTCATACGGATACGGAAACGTTGTTAAGTGTACATAGTACTTTATTTGTACACATTCGATGCGCTGACACAAGTATAATTCCCCGACAATAAGCTGAGAAAATTTGTTTCCCTTGTCCCGATTTTTTTTTGGAAAATTGTATCTGTTGTTGTTACTGCTGACGAATTGTTTGTATTTTTTTACTATTATTTTCTGTATTGCGAGTTAGCTCTTATTTTAAAGTACATATATTATGTAAAGAACGCTCAATTCAAGTGGATTCATCGTATATCATCGGATAAATCCTGCGACCAAACGTAGCATTGTTACATAATAGTCTATAAACTTACTAAATAAACCTATTCAATAATATATGCTAACAATTAGTTGCTGATAGAACAGCAACAAGTTGTCGAAAAAATTTTGACTGTTTTTCAAGTTAGACAACTTTAATCTTGGGTCGCGTCGGATTAACATAGCTGTTACTGGAGAGCTGCAATTTTACAGCAATACATATGCTAACGTCGTACGAATGCCTTTATTCAAACCTAAAATAGGACGGCCTGCCGATGAGTAGGGCTGTGACAAAAGTTTGTTATTGCAATGGAGGTAAAAGTGTTATCTAGGCCCATCGAAAGTGAATGTTGTTCATTACCAAGATGCATTACCGATACTTCCGTCGCCTTCGTCCTGGAAATTTTGATGTAAAAGATGCTCCCTGTAATAGTCGACCAATTACAAAAAAAGTTCATGAAGTATAGAAGATTATGTAAGACCGGCACAAGAATACCCATGATATTGTCAAAGGTTTTAGCTTCAAAAAGTTGTAAGCCATTTGGCAAAAAATCTGGTCTCAAAAAAAAGCTTGATCCTTAGGTGGCACACAAATTGAAGCACAAAAATTCCCTTAATCGTATTTTCTTCTTCCAAACCCTAGAGTAACGCAAGGAAATCGAACCATCTCTAAAGCAGCTTATCACGACTAACAAGAAATAACAGATAACATACAACAGTGATGTTCAAAATAGAAATGTGTGCAAGGTCCAGATTGATCCCAGAGAAGGCCAGCGATGCTATGTGTTTGGTGAGATTGGAAAGGAATCGCCTGCTGTCGCTTGGCGAAACGATCGATTCGGACTTCTGCTTCACTAACTAACAAGCTTATAACAAACTATTGAAAAAATCAGCCGGAAAGGGGCCGTCTTCTACCCTGACGATCGCAAGCCATAAACATCTTAAGCTACCCGGCAAAAATTCAAAGAACTTAATGCATCCGCCGGATAGCTCGGATTTCGCACCATCAGACTACCATCTCTTTCTATCTTAAGCATAACTACCTTATTGGTGTTCATTTAATTTCGATGTAGCTAGGCAAAAATCGTTTATTGCCATTTTTTCTTGCCCGAGAATTCGACAGTGACACTAAGTGTAAGAAGGCCTGTTTTAGGTAATTAATATTGCTTCAGTAATACATAGCTTGTCTCTAACTTTTCGGAACAACTCTTGCTTTTACTGGTTCATTTTTGCGATTTTTCAAAATGCTTACTTTTGGTGTACAAGTATCCATATTAAATGAAGAAAAAATACGGGACTTGAGAAGAACACTGACGCATAAAAGCAGTTAATATGTTAATTCATTTCAGTCTTGGGGCAGATTTTCTATTTGGGAATTTTCTCATCGCTTATTTTTGTTGTTTGTGCGAAATTACTTCTTAGCGGCAGTTAGTAATCACAACTGCCTTAATTACTGCCACCTGCTGGTTTGCAGTCACCCTTCTAGGAGAGCATTTTCCAATGTCGATTTTTCTATCTCATTATCGTATTTGATTGTGGAGGATGGTGGACCTATTTTGAAAAAAGCTGGCCTACATTTACTGCGGAAAGTAACTATTGCCGTAGCTAAATTATTTTCGTCCAAAAAACAGCAGAATATACCCCAAATATTGCTCTATTTATTAAATATAAAAGAGCTAAAGAGCGCATTCAGTTAAAGGGAACAATGGTTATAGATCAGCATATTGCCTCGTAAAGTGGGTCTTACTAGAAAAGCATTCACGAAAACGCTTCGCGTTTGCTTCTATTTATTTATTAAGCAAATGTTCTTTTATTAAATAAAAAGATCACGGTTAGAATGACACAATGTATGATTACCCAGTTTATATTTCTCGCCATATTGGCTCAGCTAAAACGATTACACTATACTGTATGTGTAATTCCTCATAAAAGTTTTATTCATCTATGAACCAAACACACTTTGATGAAACAAACAACATTAGGGTTGGTAGTTTCGCTTTACGTTACGATGTGTAACGAATTAAGTTAGGTAGGCAATGAGAATGAATGATTAGATTAACGGTATTGGAATGACAATACTCCATTTTTCCGTCTTAACGCTGGAAAAAATTAGGTAGGACCGATCCAAAGCTAATTAGGTCCGAGCAGGTACAGAGAGCACACAGGACAGTGGGTGTTACAAGTATTTTATCCGATTGTCCAGGGCAAGTCAGGATGATTGATCGCTGCCAACTCACGTACTTCTCTCAGCCAATTCTACCTATCCAATTCTCTGCTTCTGCCTGTTTTGTCGAAACTGCTTCGACCCTTTTGTGATCTCTTTGAAGCTATACGCCTGTCGTACTTTGGTATTCAGCGTACCTTGACCATGGCACGATATCAACCTTTCCATGTCAACGGTACATTATACCCTTTGTCGTCAAACACAGCTTTAGAATATAAACATTGACTTTGAATGAACGCGTTGCTAGCGCCATCTACAAGGACTAAACAAGCGGAGAACATAAGTGCATCCGACGTTCTTGGACAGACGCTGTGCACAGATATTACAGCAGTCTGGACGGTAAAACCGGTAAGAAAGACAGTAAGTTTAGCGTCAGGTCAACAGAAGGCACATTTATCACGGCTAGCCAGACGTTTATACGTAGCATGTTTTAGTCACTTGTTACTGAGATGTGTAATCTCGATGTAAATCAGTACAAAGATAATATCACGTGTACGTCGTCGTATATGTCTGGGTTAGGTCGAAGGGCACACGGGCGAACAACTCGTTAAATAAAACGCGTTTTGAAATAAATTACATGTTCACGAATGTGTAGAAAAATGTCTATATTGAAATGCGAGTCATCGATTGGTGGTCGCCCTATCGATAAGATTATACACAGTATTAAGGCCGCAAGTATTTCTACAGCGTTTCATTGAAGAAACGAACTCTACGTACCACAATCACTTATCGAAACCGGAAGGCAAATCGAACTGGGTTCCCGTGTGGAAATACCAGCGGAAACTCGGTAGCCTCAACGCTTTTGACCAGGATATAGTTCCAATACTCCTACAGTGAACACACAGATATGCACAGCTCCAAGCGCTCTTATGGAACACGTAGCAAGAGGATTATATTAGTTTAGCAGGACGTTCCCGATCCAATTAGTTAACGAGTTGTTTTTCGGTCAGCAGACGATTTGTCGCTGGCATCGAATTTTAGGGTCATCACGTCGACAATGGCGTGCGCCGCGGTGAACTTCATTGCGCTGCTTTAATGCTATTAATGACTATGCGGAAAACACATAACGCCTGTTGTGTGAAATAAAATAAAATTCGATCAGTTCTTTACGACCTTTTTTTGTATAGGAATGGTCCTGCCTAGGCAAGAGTAGTATGTTAGAGATTAGGATCCTGGGAGTCTTCAGCATACGCATCTATAAACGTCGAAGTAGGAGACGCAGTATTTGGAGTTATTATTACCTATTGATTAGTGAACCAATATGATTGTAAATGCCTTTTTTCGGGCAAAGTTAATCGTCTTAATACATCTCTATATATATATATATATATATATATATATATATATATATATATATATATATATATATATGACGTTTATGTTGGCTGGTGCATTAAAACTTCATTTATCCATACCTCTTTTTTACACGAGCAAAACGGCTAGTTTTAATCAATGTCTACGGGTCGTTATGTTTAATAGGAGTAATAAGCATCTGTAAAACACTGCCGCGTTCCTTCTTTCATTAGCAGCAATTTCTGCATTGCTTTATCAGCTGCTGCTGCTGCTACTGCAGTCTCTCTGCCTTCTGCTCTCTTCGCGGGTCTTCGTTGCTTAGATCGCTCCTTATGCTGCTGCCCTCTCTGCTTGGCCGGATTGCGTCTCGCCAGCGCCAAGGACCCCCCAGCTCCGGACGAACTTCTTCATCCTGTTAACTTGTGTTCATTTGTTAACCGGCCTCTTCGCGGTCATCTCCTGCTACTCATTTGGTGGAGGCTTTCAGCGGATTATTCACGTTCGAGAAGACAGCAGCTAGCAGTGCAGGTAGGTAGGTAAGCAGACGGAACAAAATACAAATATTGAAACGTTGAGCTTCATTAGGTGAAACGTCTATGGAAACGTTAAGCTGAGATTGTATCATTTGAATAACAGTTTGGTTAGAGCCCGCATTTACACATGTTACAATCGTTCGAGTACTGTTATGTTTACTATCATTCAACGCAATTGATTAAAATGTACATTATGTGCTTTGGAGAAAAGACACGATGGATCGGATTTGATATAGCGAGAGTTATAGCAGAACTGGCATCGGCGTGCAAAAAAAGCTTACGGTTTTTTTTTCGCTTGATGATTTTTGAAAAATCCTTCTATACACACAAGCAACAGTTCGAAAAGTTGTGAGCTTGATTTGAAACGAGACTCCTAGTTGGCGCTCATAAATACCTTAAGATCTATTGGCTATAAACCCGAATAACCGACAATATAATAACACCACACATAGCGGCCGTTAAATACAGGACAAGTGAACCAGTGGTTAACTACGAAATGTGCGGACATTGAGAAAGCAACTTCACTGAACACTTATAGACCCGAATGTTGTTGTGCAGTCAACTTAAACTTCCAGTTAGCTTGGGTTCACTGAGGCCAATGTCATTGATTTTTTACAAAAATTGCTCCTTTTCATTGGGCAAATCGGAACTAATCATAGAGATATTATCACCGATCGAATGGCTGTACACAGTTAGAACGACCACTTATCGAAGCGGTCGGTTGGCCTCGAGAACGACCGATTGATTCTATAACGATTACTGATTTCTTCCTATGACCTTTGCCTGGTACCAGACTTGTCGAATGGAACAGACCTGTGTATCGTATAGCAATTCTTACTACGTGTGCTATTATAAGTGCTCGCGTTTAATTATAGTACTCCTAACCCGTCGCACTGCTTTGTGTCTTTGCTTCTACTTCGAAACAGACCTGTATTTGATTGGCTAGCGAACATATTCATGTAGCATAATGTCATTCGTCGAAACACTATCATAAAGCTTACTGGGTCAGGGACCCGAAAAGTGACCAGAAAATATATCATCCTGCGGCATTTGGAGGCCGCCACAGAAGAGCCACAGCGCTGTGAACACTTCGAAATACGAAGAAAATTAGACAAAGCCTTATTACGTCTTGTATTCGGCCTTCTAGTTCTGTACGTGTCCGTCTATGTGCGTCTGCGTTCGTACCTGTATGTGGGTCTGCGCTGAACCTCCAAATTCGTGCGCTACAAGCCCTTCTATGTATTCGTCCCTATGGCAATGTTGTTGTCCGACAATTTTCTATGTCCCCGCAGTATCCGTTATTGTTGTTACTATAGTTCAGCGCTTAATCCTGCCTGCTGGTTGTATCGTAGTCTGCTTCCCCGCCGATGGTCACTTACCACCTATGCGGTACAGTTACGCTATGTTGGCAGCGATCGTTGCTGCTATGGCAGTGCTACGCACGTACGGCAATTGGCTTAAATCTGTTTGGCTGCCTTGGCAAGTTTACTTCGTCCGATTCTAGGTCCTGAAGGGTGCTAATTTTAACATGGCGGCCGATCGCACTGACGCGGCCTTACAGGCCCAAACAATAACTATAACATTATAAAGCTGTTAGCGTCTAACGTATAGAACTCGTTCTGCTGTAAAATAAAAACTGTGTGAAATGAACGTACTGTATTCGAACCGGCGGATTAATACTGATATTCACGTATTTGCATCGCTGCGCGTGTGTAGATAATGGTTCCATCCTTCTTATCCTTGTCGTCAATGGTCAGGTCGTTGCCACGTGCTGATGCACGGATAGTGAGTATCCTGTTTTTTTGTACGCATCACAAAATTAGAGCGATATTTATTTGTAGAGAGAAAATAGATGTAACGAGAGAGATAAGATAACGAGAATTTAGTTATATATATTAGATGTTCCCCATAATAAACGTTTTGCTATTTTCTATTGCTTAGCATCCTCTGGCAAAGTTCTATTGAAGATGAGATGATCTACTGCAGAATAAGAGTTAACCAAGTGAACATCAAGTTATTATTTAAGTTGGCAAATGAGTTGAATCCTCTTCGTCTGTTTTTTTGCACTCAGTTCCACTGTGTGTCAGTTAAACACTAATTGTGCAACTCGCTCAAACAATTCTCGCTTCTGTCATTGTTGTTAGCATTAATAAGCTTTCTTCTCAAGAGTTATGTATACATCCTGCTTAAACTCTAGAGTAATTGTTCAGCATAAAAATATCTATTCATATACAAACATCTGTTGTCTGTATATAAAGTCACGAGAAAAAAAAACCTTGAAATGGATATACATCGCGCGTATTGGATAGTGCAATTACGTTCTTGAAGGCTTCAAGTTGTGGTAAAGGCAGCTTCAGGACAAACCTTATTGATGATTTCACGAGGTCCGTAAAATTGACCCATCTAACGGGAATGAAATATTCGCCTTAAACTTAAGGTGATTTCTGTTATCCGCCATTCAATGTTTCTCGTTTTTGTGAGTCTCTAATTTCGGCATATATATTTTTGTCATATCCCGGTATATAACTTCGTCAACACTGTCGAACGTTGCGACATCTTCGATAAGAGAATCGTTTCAACTCCGTTTATTGATCTTCGCTACGCTCTCGTCGAATTAATTTGTAGACGTTTTTTGTTATCAGTATTATCATCTTTGCTAGCGGTTTTCTGTCGGCCTTCGCTAGTGCAAACGCAGCGGTGCGCTCCAAATATAGCAATCTATTTGAAGTCATAAATCTTCACGTATTGATCTTCTGTACGTATTGCCATAATTGACAGATAAACAGTCGATGATTAAGAAAGCTGAAGTGCTCCCTCTACTTCTTTCTTGGTTCAGAAAAGTAATGAAATAGATAGATAAGGACGAAACACCAGGTCGATTCTTCGTACACCGAAAGATCTCATCACACGTGAACTTTTATAAAAGTATTGAAGACTGTTCCAGAGGTCCATGTGTCATGTTCATTAGGTTATTTCTATGCCCAAATTTGAAACAAGGATGACTCCGAAATCTGCTTATCGTTACTTTTATCTTGACCATCAATGGATTATAGCAAAAAACGATAGATATTTAAGAATTTCACTCAAATCAAGAAATGTCCCGGCCTGAGTTGATTCGAGTACTGACTATTTACAGTAGTTATCAATGCTTCTATTCAAACGTATTTTATTTGTAAACATCAATAACAAATCAACGCTGCGTTGTAAAAGAACCGTTCACCAGATAGTTTCACGGCATTCATACTATAAATATGAGTTAACCTTTTAAGTCGGTACTTTTGACAATTTTCTATTATATTTTTCCTCTTTTTTTTTTTTGATGGGCTCGCAATTAATCGTTCAATTAGCCATTAGGTATCTTTGTATGTTGACTCGACCTATTCTTCCGTTAAGCAATGTTCGATACAGATATTGTAAACTGAGCTCCAGCGAAAACATTCTGTCAGACCAATTATCGCTTTCTGCTAACTTTACATGGACTCGCTGTACACACTTTAACGTTTCTAATCTAACAAAATTCCCATAATGAAGGACAATCAATAGCCGAGCACACTAAACATCAAGAAGAGTTATATAAAAGGCCAAGATTTTGAAGTTCGGCTAAAGGAAATTTCGAGCAGTGATCTGGATAGTCGATGCCATTCAGCCAAAAGATAATATAGACTGTGTACGTTTCTGGAAAACGTCAAATACATATACATGAAAGATGCACACAGTGGTAGAATACGAACTACAGATATAAATACGTTATCTTAAATACGTACAGAGATCGCAAATAATACGAAACTAATGTATACAATAAAAAAAAAACAGGTGCTGGTGACATTGAATACTGCTTTGGTTTCCCCTAGAGAAAGACAGGTACGTACTCCCATATATATATAATATATTATATAGACAAATATAATGTATTGAGTGCATATTATTATGTGCAACACTTACAGAGTTATGATATTTGTTAAAAGTGTATATATATATATATATATATGCTTATAAATTTCATCACGCCATTTCCTTAGGACATTGTTGTCACTTTTTTGGGAACTGGATCAGAAGTTCATCAATAATTGGTCGACCATGTTATGTAAGACAAACGTGTATTGTAAAAATTTTCTCTATTCAAGTGTTAGTGTGTGTGCACTTCTTGTTATAACTTCTTGTCGTAACTTCATGTTAATACCATGTCATTAGAACGTTAACTTGCTGAAACAGCGTTGCCAATTGGCAATAACAAAATAAGCTCGGTTTCAGAAAAGACAGACTGTAATATACTGTAAAACGTGACTTATCCTTAAATGGATATTTCCTACCAATATCCCATGTGACCTTATTTAAAAAGACAGCTGTCACATCAGCACCTTTCGCTGTCTTCATAGAAACTATAATCCTAATTAGATCGCCCATTATGCTGCTTCGTTGCGTTAGTATATTATTTAAAAATATGTGTAATTTTGTTGACGGACATTATCAAAAATGAAGACATTAACTGATTACGGAATTACTCGCTACTAAACTGACTGTAACTCGCCGTCTACTAAACTGTTTGCGAAACATTCATTGTTATTCTCCTTATCTCAGAATGTTGTTATACCCCATCCTCTGCTGCTCGATGCTAGCTGCCGTCCTGGCATACCCCAGTGGAGCTCCGGAGAGCGCCTGTCAGTCTCTTATGCCCCAGCATCAAGTTAGTCCTCAGACAGGCCGGTCTCCCTACGGTATTTATGTTTCGGCGAACGCTATTCACAGCGGTGAACCAGTCACTGGTAAGCTTCTTCCTGTTCCATGCCTTTTTCTTCCCGCGCTAAGGTAAGATCACCTGCTGAATCCTATGTTGGCCAACTATTTGATCTAGAGAGTGGAAAAAAGAGAATGCACTTTGTGACCTTCTCTAGCGCGGTGCTTCCGCAGCGATACCCCAATAGTTTTCAGACCCCCTCCGCTACAATTCGGCCGAAATGATTACACGAATAGTCGTAGACCGAGCAGGTCCCGTCACATAACATAAGACTTTACTAGGTCAAGGCTTTAGTTGATGACGAACGACAAAAAAGGCACCGATAGCTACGTGGTATCGTGAAAAATGGCCATCGGAGACAATATGGCCCTGATCAAGGAAGTGAATATGCCTCAGGGTCAAAACTAGAATAGTGAATCACGTATGAAATGCAAATAGAAGTCGATCTATAGAATGATATAGTGGTGTCCTTAAAATCCGCTTGCTGATTAGCGTCCATTCGCGGCTTGTGTTTGAGCTCACAAGGAACTTTTATTAAAGTAATCTTTTACGGTTTATGGAGTAGTTAGATCTTTGTTTTCTGCCATAAATACATAATTGTCAAACATTTTGAGCTAAACCATATGTCGTAGGCTTTGACTAAGCAGAACGCTGTGAGGCAAACCGTGTATTCAAGGTTGACAAAGATAGCTCACCTTGTAACCAATTGGGTTTCATAAGGGGTAATGGGGGAACGTGTCTGTAAAACGTTCACTCAGCAATTCCTAGTCTGCAACCACGACCATCGCTAGCTATAGCGACTGCACGGAAGAGTACGGAGCGCTCACTCGCAACGCGATAGGCGAAACGCATTTATTACCACCTTCAGGAGACCTTCGTTGAGATGCAATTTGATGGTGTTGTAATTGTATATCCTTTATTTAATATAAACTGATCCGTCAGTTTCTTTGAAGCAACAAATATGCCAACAAAACAATGAAAAGGCATGTATAGTAGAAGTTGTAAAATGTAAATACTGTATTCAACTTCATATTAAAATGTTTGCTCGCGTCAACTAAGTGCTTTTGTCAATTGTCCTTTGCATACTATGTCTTTCAGTCAAATACATATTAGGGCACTCGTTACAGAAAAATCAAATATAAGATTGAATCCAGTACGTCGAAACTGAATAACTTTCAAACTAGGCGCCGCTAGCAGACATAATTTGGCTGGTAAATACTCCAACCTTCTTAAACTTCATAAGTGAAGATAAGGACATTAGCTCACAAAGAAACATTTAAGTCCTGAAAATTAACGATTAGTGGTCGAGTTTTTGTTCCTCGAAGGCCACAGCACTGCAAAAATTAGCCAAAGATTGGTGAAGATATTAGGTAAAGAAGTCCTGGGCGGAAGCATAGTACGCGGATGGGCAAAAGTTTCAAGAATGGAAGTTAGCAATAAGGTCATCAGATGTCGGGACTTGAAGCATGAGAATACATTGTCACAATGAAAAGGCTTTTCATAACTGCAGAGTCTGGAGTCTAAGGGCTTTGCAGAATGTAACGCGTTAAAAAATATATACCCAAATGCTCAAAATACGAAAACTGAGTGTCCCGTGACCAGTCGGAAATGCGTGTGATGTATTCCACGTGCAATTCGCTGAACTTTAATCAATAAAAAACCCGCTTGGCGCATATAATCACCATATATGCTATAGGGACACAAGACGTAAAAATGACGTCGCCTTGAAGAGAAATCAAATGTAGTGGCAGTATCGAGTAGGTTTACACATAAAGTTACAATACTTGCAGTGGACGTCAAGGTAATCTGTTATTATTAAGTATTCGCCGAAGATGAAACAATTAATGCAGCCCGCTATCTAGAGTTTCTCGAGAGATCGTTGGCATGGCAATCGAAAACGTGCTTGATGATAATGCCAGACTTCATCGCTATGCCTTGATTACTTTCTGGATCAAGCAAGGGACTCTCCAGCGTTGGCTTCAAGCCGTTTATTCTTCTGATCGAAGTTCGCGTGATTACGGGACTTCCTATGCCCTAAAATAGGCAACTGGTCGGCAAACATATGCCGCTATGGATTTACTTGGTAATGTTATAGTTAAGAAATTACATATAAAAACTCTAATGGTAGGTTTATGACTGTCCAGAAACTCCCAGATCATTGGCTCAAGGTGTCGAAAATAAAAAAAAGTACCTCTAATACATATTAAAAAAAATCATCATTCTCGAAAACTTGATCAAAAGTGATTTGTTTTAAAGTCTGCCGGGTTCGCTTGTGACAGCCTAATATAGAGTAATTTGCTAGTCATGTGTAATAATTAACCAATATGTGCGTAAAATGCCTTCTAACCGCATCAAAGTATGTGGGTTTAATTAAGTTAGTGGTAATGGCCATGCAGGCAGTTTCACACAGCGGATACCATGGACAAGAACCCTTTGCTCCACTCGAGTCATTAGTCCTTTTGCGTTCATCCCGCTGCTGTTTGGCGTCGTTCCTTCAAATTGAAGCTGATAGAAATGTACATAGATTGGAAACGCACTATTTGGATGTTACTGTATAGGTACACAACAGTATATTTTCACAGATACCTACATTAGAAGCTTGGCTTTCGGTGCACGCCGTCTATATATGATATGGCTAAATGCTATGGAAAAGATTCCAGTAGTAGAAACCCCCCAGCATCTGGCCATTTACCCTGTCATCGTCTACGACTTGAGCTAACGTACAAAAACTTTGTTTTAATAAAACACACTTGTGGGTTTTCCTATTTTGTTTTAAAGGTTTCGTTGACGAAAAGCAGGACAGCATTCTTATATTGAAGCATTGTTAGCTTAGGTACGTATCATCTTAGCAGACCAGATTTAAGTCAGTGTTGCCAAAAAAATAAATTTCTTCGCGGGTAAGTTGTTCATATTCGGTAATCAGAAAGATAATTTTATTACTAAAAGTTTTATAAACTAAATAAAGTTTTATAACAACTTTTTTTTTTATAAGTTTTACAATCATTTTACAAGATATGTTTTAAACACATACTACTTTAGAGCCTTTAGTACTTTTTGTAAAATGTACGTACTACTAAATAAGGTTTGACGAGTAGAGTGGATATATTATTTGACAGCTTTGTTAACTGGCCCACATGTAGGTCGGTTTTTGCATTTATTTCCAGCACAAATACTTGCTAAATATCTTTAGAGTACTAAAACCACCTTGAAACTTTTACAAAGCATTACGGTTTATAAAACCTGTTTTGTAATAACACAGAGACTTTTATTTACCACTCATCCATTGTTGGAACTAGCATTTACGAAGTTCTGAGCGATAAAACTTAGCTAGAGCTCAGGTTTGTGTGCTTGACATAACCAAGCTCAGACGTTATTGAAAGAGCGACAAAACAGTAAATCTTATTTCCGAACTTAGGCCCGGCACAGCTAAGTACGCACATCAGTAAACCTTGTCTGAACTACCGTACCTTCGTAAAGTTTGCTTCCGCTGAATGGCCCAATAAACAAAGCAAGCGTAAATAAATAAAGAAGGGTAAATAAAGCAGGTACGCGGCTAGTCAGTGAGAAGAGGGCACCTTCTGAAGCACAAAGATCGTTGCAATGATTAAAATTTTGAGCCTGTTGCTCGCATCCCGTACTCGGCTGTCGAATTCGCAACATGCACACGTACTTCGAGTAACAGAATGCACCGAAAAAAAACCAGCTGCGGGAGCAGGAGGCGTGACAGCACCAAAAGTAGCCGAAGCAGCGGAAAACATTGGATTTTCTTTCTTTATTGTTTTTTAGCGTCCACAAAAAATGATCACCGAATGCAGGAACCGTGAGAACGGGTGACGGCATTGATCGTAGACGCATACCGAGACAGTTCACTGAAGACCTAGGTGGTAGGCTGTCGAGCCGCTTACGACGATTTCCTATCGAGGCTTGCCAAACGTAGCTGCTACTGGCGGAAAAGCTGGCGCTGCTCTGTAGTAAGGACAAACTCCGGGAAGCGTTCGTCTTTATGAAAGCGAACTTAAGGTCCTAAAACTGCATGGCGTCCCACTGGAACGCATGGAAATAGCATCCGTGTCTCTTTATTTCTTGAAGTAGAAGACGATTTAAACCACGCGAAGCGAGTCGAACTCAACCGGCAGCCTGATTCATTCACCTGCTTCGACCTGTGTGAGCTTTGTACGGATGTAATGTGCACAGAGGGGTTATTTCTCCGTTGTTTTTGTTCTGTCCTTTATCCAGTGTTTAAGGTGCCCGCTTGCTTCTTTAGGGCTAAAGGTCAATGAAGAATCATACTTTTTACGAAGTTTTTTTTTATGAAGAATCATACGCAGGTAACCTTGTAAGTAACGTAGGCTCGAAAAATGTATTATCAAAACTATTAACGATCGGCACATTATTAGATTATTATTATTCGAATTATTACGACCGAGGATATAACGGACGCTGTATTGTATGTAAGCTAGATAGATGCGTTCGCTAGCTAGTCGAATATAAACGCTTGATGCGCTCACCTCTGAATCAAACGGGTTTCAGTGTCCTTCTACTCCTTTTTAACCCCAGCATTATCTTTAGTTGCCAATTTCATAAAAGTGGGTTCCACAACCCAACAGCACTGTTCTATTGAAGCAAAGCGTTGCCTAATGCATCAGTCGCACTCTACAATAGTAGTACACGTAATATGGGTTTTTTTGAGAATAGTCTTGTGTCAGTGTGTGTGTGTGTAATCTTGTAGGATTAAAATATTAACACTTCTACTTTTGCCTATCTACTAATCGGGGTTCTACGTGTTGCATTGCAGTCACACTTCAGGGTGGTACCTTTAGAGGCTTTTTGATTGTGGCACGTGACGCGTCCACTGGCCAGGTTATTAACGGCTCTTGGGTAGCGTTTGATCCACAAACTAAAGTGATCGCTTGTGGCTTGACTCATGTCTCAAATAATGACAAGCAGCGGGCATCCGGCCAATGGACCGCTCCCTCCGGCCTTGAAGGCCGACAGATTATCTTTCAAGGCGTTGTTGTAAAGGACATTAACACTTTCTGGAACAATCTCAGTTCAGCACCTGTCTCTGTGCGCTAGACCAAAAGCCTAGAAGAAAACCGACCGTCCGACAGGCTCAAGTGACACCAGGACAATCAGCGCACGACACAAGGAGCCTTATATCCGTATGCGTCAGAACGTAGTTTCACGGAGAATGTTTACGACACTCAAATTCGTCAACTCATATCATAACGTAATGGAACAATATCGTGCGGCTAAAAACATACAGAAAAACTGAGAGAGAAGCTACTTACCTAGTAACCGTCAGTACATACTACTGCACACTATATATTGGACAAGTTGATAAATGAGCGAAGAAATAAAAGCGTAATTGTAAATATCACAGGAAAATTTTGGATTTTGTATTCATTGTTGCTCAAGAGTAGTATGCGTGTGGTAGCCTTTGGTTCTAAACAGTCCTTTGATTCCTTGGCAGCGTTGGTTCTAACCTAATTAATAACCCAGTAAGTGGGGTGTCTATACGCATTGCATACATTGAAATTGTTAAATTCGTGATATAAATTTAAAACTCTGTGTTGTCCATAACCTTTCGAATACACATAAATAATGTTCTACTGTTCTATATGGTCAGATACGTCACATGATATTACATTTTCACCCGAAATACTCCTAACCTACATGTTCAAACCTGTTATTTCTATTTTGATAAAGTTGCAGTTGTACGTTGGTACGAGCCTATGGGTGTGAGCTTAGAAAGTTCGGATTAGACAGATTTATTTGTTTTACTTAAGATGGACATTTTTTTTATTTAAAATAAAGTATTATTTTGTGGCTGGAGAGCAATAATTATCAAATTTAGAGTGATTATGAGTCCTATATTTAGATACGATTAAATGCATTTAGTAGTAGACGTCCGTGGATATAGGATTAAGATACATATTATCAGAGTATTTTATATGATTTCACAGCATTCCGCTCTACTTTTCAACGTGCTTGAATAGTTCCATAAAATTCAGACCAAAAAATAGATCCGTTTCTTAGTACATACTTCTTCTACACTCAGTCTCGAAATTTAAGGAAGATTTCCCAACTTGTTTTTCATCGTCAGTATCATGTATCTATTTAGATTATTAGTTAAATATAGTTAGACACGTATAAAGCATTACGACAGTAGTGACGGCAGCAGAGAAGCCGATCCAATAGAGGACGACTCGAGCTCCGAAACGATGACCCTCATCGGCCAGTTCGGTGAAAGCATACGACGAGAAGAACGGCATGAGGACTGTCGTCGTCTTTCCCGCCTATCATCGGATATTCGGGGCGATAGAGGCTAACTCAAGCTATAGCCGACAATTATTCCGCAAAAGGCTCACTAGCGAGACAGGTCACGGCAAGAAGGAATTGGTAAGGGTTCCCTTACACCGTCTTTCCCGACTTCGGCTATGGAGAATGGTCGAGGGGACCTTCCGCTCATAACTTTTATCCAGAACAAACCCTCTAAATCCAGGAGACTGAGTAGGAGCGAAGTCTCCACTCAGGGTCTGCTGTCGCGTGGCCTTAGCCTATGCATCCTGACTTTCATGCTGCTCCCCCGCTGTCAGGTCTCTACCAGCAGCAGCAGAGGTCTTCTTAGCGCTGACGGTGGTGGCTGGCTTCCTGACAAAGGCAGCTATACAGTATTAAGCACTCACCTGAAGCGATCCCTGTTGAACTTCAAATCCGGAATGCGGTTAGCCATCATATCACCGATTCAACAAGCATCCGCTTCGTAGTGATTTGAAGATCTGTCTGTATTAGATATTTTACTGCTGTATTCGCTTGCGTAATATGCATATGTAACACGATATTAATAGGCTGATGTTCGACAGAGCTGTTCTGTCTCTGATCCGATTAAAACGGGCAAACTGATGTCGTGCCTAAATCACGGAACCTTCAAATCAGATCCGCCGAGGTGTTCTTTTCTTCAGATTGGCATAACAGGTAGCCGCCCAACGTCTACAATCCTATGTAAGTGTGACTGCAAAATTAATTATTGTTGACACATAACACAGAACGCCCGCTAAAGCAGACGGAATATGAAAGGTCTGGAACATTTTCAAAGCTGGCTAAGGGGCCTGCACTAGTGGATGCAAAGCATGATGAGTTCGTATAGTGTGCGATAATTCGTTCCCATCATGTGTTTTAGCGGACTGAGAAGCCAAACGATTGCATTCGTTTAGATCAGAAACATCTCACTGGTGAATCATTGTATAATGTATTTACGCACGCATATAGTAATATATAATTTACTACTGTATGTAGAAATATTTACCAATTGAAAAAATGATAAGTGAGACCCAGTCGGGTTAGTTGTTAGATAATGGTATATAAGTGGCCTAAATCGACAATATGTATTAGTTCCCTTACATAAACGCACAAGCTTACGTTACCTAGCAGAGTGGTGAGTTTCTATTCCAAAATAAATAACATCTTCTTTACTCATGGTCCAATACCGGCATAGTGTTCGTATGAAAATGTATTTACCCACATACAATCAGAATTCTAATATTTAACACAAATGCGATGCCCATTCTGTAGCTGAGCTCGGAATTACGCCAAATTAAAGTTAAAATTATCTCGTTTATAAGGAAAATACTAGATACTGCTCACGTTTAATGGCTCAAGTACGTGTGGAGTGGATACCGCAAAACGGCATATCATTATTAATCTTCTAAAAAAAACTTGGGTAAATCTATATTCAACTGGGTACACTTAGTCTGGAGCTTGAAAGGACCTGGCCTGCACGTTGCACCACTTAGTCTCTGACACATAAGGCAAAATTGCCTTAGTGTCTACTGGCTTACGGCATATTTACTGAGCAGCGGCAGCTTGCGGTACATTCGAATTTTCACGACACCTATTGCCATCTTGAATTGCTAATCATATATATATGCGTTAGCTTCGGGTTCTCTCGCAGTAACACTTTAAGATCGTTTGTACTGTGCGGAAAAACGTTAATTGTTTGCGCGAAACGGAAGTTTTTTTAAGACAGTCTGACATTTCAGCGTGAAGTTAGTTTGTCTCGGCCACATTTTATAGGTTATGAATGACCGATATATATCTGCCTGTTGTAATTTAAGTAAAAAAAAACCTAATCATCAATGAGTTGTCGAATGATATTCTTGATGTCCTATTCAAGTGAACGCTCACTGTTGTGTTTGTCAGCGTCTGGACGTGTAATGTCTACTGTCCGGAAGAGAGTTGCCGACAAATACTTATTAGAAATGTTACCTAAGCCACCGCTAATGAGCAATTTCCTGTTGTTGTTGTTTCTGGGACTTCTTGTGTACTTTGGCCTATATATATATGACATAATTATAATGATTTTGCTTTTATAGTGTTTAAAAATCGGTGTGAACATCAATGACCATTCTACATAGCGACATACAATCCGCATCTGTATAGTATAGGATTGTGCTAGCGCCGCCGCGTACAATTCCGATAATACATATACGGGACACACATATGCGGGATGTACATGATCGTGGTTCCATAGTAGGTTCTTGTTAGGGCAGTCGTAGACGGTAAGCGGCAGGCCTCAAGATATGCGAGAAAACATCTTTGGATGAGTGAAGCCTTGGTCAATATAGCATCTAATGTATATTTAAAAGAATACATTCAGTGTGTATTTAATATTCCTCCACGTACTACCCACCCCGAAGGTATATAATGTTTACATGGTTATTTGTAAAATAGTCGATAATTGTTTTTCATTGCTGTTTCGTAACCTTAGTCTTTGATGGACCATATGGTGAAAATCATTCCAGATCGTATGGTGGCTTGCGTGACTCTATCGATAGCGTGTGCCCGTCTGCTTCGGATCATCTGTGTTCTATTACCGTCTATCCAAATAATCCTGTGATTATCAAACTGATATTCAAATAATCATGACTAAATAATGGTCAAGGTTCGTCGTCCTATTTCTAGTTTACACTTTCCATAATAACAACGCGTCGAGCTGATAATGCAGCATCCTATACACCTCACCATCGATTTCGAGGTTTTTCAAAATAAGAAGTTTCACGGTTATTATGTGAAGGCTACCAATGCGAAGACCTATAACAGACTCATCTCTACGAAAAATTTGCCTGTAAAGCTCAAACGCTTTAATGTTAGGAAATGTGGTACTCTAGAGACAAGCACATTTAAAGCTATTGGATTGACAATCTCATTATTTTTATTACGCATTGTCAACTGAGCCTGACACTGAACACTTTTTTCAATGGGTTCAGTACTTCCAGACGTTGGATTAGTAAATGAATTCTTTATATATCTATTGCCTCAAGAGGATATCACTAACCATATAATGATGACCAGTGTCCTGTTTTCAACACCCATGTTACATATCTAATTTGATACGTTATTTAACTTAATCCATATTGAAGTTATTATACGAATATATTTGGAGGGGTCAATCGATCTCGAAGGCTTACTTGAAATATTAATGCATGTGTCTCTAAAACAAAGATATTTCACTTGGCGTTGAAAACATATTTACGTGCCTAAGAGTACACAACGCATCGCGAGAGGGGGATCATTGTTGAGTGCCATCGACATGTGAAGCCGGATAAGACATCCGTTTCTGCAGATTGAAGCAGTGCAGTACGTGGATAAACAGCTGCAGTGTCTGTGCAAGTATTTTTTTAAAAATTTTGCTTTAACAGATGGTACTTATTGTCTAGATACCAAATCATAGGGTCTTTACGACTTTCCACTAGGATTTTTCGAAGCATGGCACATACTGAAAGCTTAACTATCTAATTAGAGTGGCAAATTTTGTATAAAACTGTATTACCACTATACATGGAGCCGTAGCGGGTCCCGGCCAAAATTCCAACACGAACGTACGAGTCAGTTATCACTGCTGTCTTTTTATCTATCAATGATATCTTTTCTACTTATCAAAATGTTAACCTATCGTATATACAAGAAATATTATGTATGTGTTGCACATTACGGTGAGCTATTGTCCTTGAAGATGAATTTCTCATAGTGTATGAGGAGTTCGCTTACGAATCCCTCTTGGCTTTGATACTTCAATCAGTTATCGTAGTATCATGCGATTATGTTTAACGGTTACGCCGTTAATCAAATATATTTCACTCAAAATACCCTAGCCGATGCCACAATGGGCATGTACAAGCTCATCGCAGTCAAATACAGCTGTGATTCTGTTCAGTTTCAGCAAAAAAAAGTACCTCATTTGTGTAAATATATTAAAAAATAAATGGCTCGTTCAGGCTCCAATCGCAAAACACCTAATTATTTTTATAATTTTTCCCACAAAATCCCGAAAGGGCCTAGTATACAATTCGTCTCTGTTTGCGTTTTTTTTTTCTTACATTTAGGACAAT